TATTCACTGTAAGATTAACAATAGAAATTTTAATGTTGGCCTATGCCACTTTTGGCCCCGTCAAATAAGAAAAATGTATTTTTATGACGTCATGGAATATACAAAAAGTTTTCCACAGAAGTTCTTTTATCCCAAACCTCCTTAAAAATTTCAAAATTAATTTGTAATTTCACTGTTCCCTGGTATTACAATGAAAACTGATATCGTCCAATCAGAAAACAGTACAAAAATGACGTCACATAGATTTGAAAATGCTTTTATTGAATTCTACGGGTATGAAAACCTCTAGATAAGTCTTGTATTCGCTCAGATTAGCTTCTGTAATGTGTAATTAATTTTGGCACGCTTTGACTTCAATCTGGCCCACTGTGCGCCATTGCCAGAAGCTACAGTTAGTTAGAGATGTACATTCCATAAATCGGTAAGATTTCATAGGCCTTCCTTACGTAAACATGTAATAAGAACCAGGGAATTTCACTGTTCCCTGGTAAGAACAGTAATAGTTATACTCGAGCTTCACGACATTGCGAAGTACCTGCTCTTTTCCTAGTAAATTAAACTTTGGTGTCGTATCGAACTCGAGTCGAGTCGATCTGAGATGGTCCGAGTGGAGTTTCATGCAAATGTTTCTTACGGGAAAAAAATTAGTGAACTGTTTGTACTTCTTAGCTGTAGTCCGATAATCCTATAGATTAAAATGGCACACCAGAAAACGTGTTAAAGTGAAAGTGAAGCCTTGTATTAAATAAAGTGCATTCACTCATTAATCCTTAAAAATCGATTGGAATCGACCTGAAATAAAGACTGAACTCAATAAAGCAACTTTCTATGGATGGTGACTGTTTTCAGTCGACGTTTAATTCGGATTTGGACATCGTTAAATTCATCAGTGGAAGTTACAAATGCATAGCCTTATTTACTTTTTAAACTTACGACGCTAATACGGAGGAAATGTGTAGTGAATTAAATTTTAATGTGTTAGATATATTTAGACTTGACTATAAAATAAAACCATGAGGGTTTCTTTTTAATTTTAATAAATCTGTTAAAAAAACATAAACTTAGCTTGTTCCTGCCACCCACTTTAAAACATTTAGGCGATCTGACGTCATTACAACCAAGCATGCCTTTGTACTATATTAGAATAATGCAATTTTAGAACGATCTATAGCACGGAAATATGTATCGTGACAATAACTAGAATAGCAAATGACAACACATTTCAGTTACCGTACCTCTATCTTCTTCTAGCATCGTATCAAAATTACCGAGAAGTAATTTGGTCTTCGCTGAAACATCGTTAAGTGTAGCTGAGCCTATCTCTGAGTCACTCCTAGCTTGCCGACCACGTAGAAGGTTAGGCCAGGCCTTCGACAAGTTACATGCAATAACACATAAGACAATAATGCTTCCATACGTTTTTGCCACGCTCATGTTGTACCCTTTTCTGAAAACAGATGAACACCCTGCTGTCTTTAAAATGTTTTAGATGTCTGTTCTGTGACTCAAAACTACAATATTTTATATTCGTTTTGAATGTTCAAAGTGATGGGACTTACAAAAGCCGACGAGTATCGGCAGCTGTTACAAATTATTAATCGATAATCAGTTTTTACGAAATCGATCGCATAATATAAGTTTTGTACACATTAACTGTCATATAGAGGATCATTTGAATGTTTGAATTCATTATTACATTACTAACAATTATTTCAACAACAACCGTTTAACAATTGTTTTAACTAATTTTGATCTAATATTTTGTTCGACAAGTTTCTACTCTCCGTTTTGTTTTGTTTGTTTGTTTATTTTTTTTAATTCAAGACAGCGCATTCCTGCTTATTCTAACACATACATCTCATTTTGTTTCCTCTTTTCAACTTCTTCTTATTCACATTGTCACACTCCCTTTTAATTGACCCCACATTAATAAAACCTTAACTTAACATTTCCACGACAAATCCATAAACAACCAACCTTCATTCATCTAAGAATCTGCCCTCTTTAGTCCCTTTGTAAATATTTCTACTATTACGTTTGTATATGGGCAATACAATATTGTTGTATTGTATTGTGTATTTTTATGCAATGTAATTGAAGCAGATACTGGCCATTGTAGCATTGAACTATTTTGAATTTAAATTGAATTGATTACATTACGACGGAAAAAAAATTATGACGCTAATCGCGAAGAGATTTAATAGGTAAGTAGATGAATGTCTGTTGTCGAGTTCGGTCACTGATTACTTGTATGCAATTGCTTTGATTAGACTTCATTGGATTGGAATGAAGTGTTGACATGTTATATGTTTGTCTATTAGATAGTGACATCATAATTGGCAGATGATAATTTCGACCAATTATTACTGTACATACGATCTAATTGGTAATTACACAATTAATTACACATGTCCATGTCCGTGATTATAGGTATACTTAGGAGGGTAATGAGCAATATCTGCAATGAGTTAAGCAAAGCATTGAACGTCATTAACGTTAGTCACAGATGACAAAATTCGTGTACTGACGTCAATAAGAAACATATCAACATTTTACAAAACCAACCATATTCCAATCTTCTAAATCTATAATATTATGAGTGGGCGTAGGGAACAGTGAAATTACAATTTCACTGTTTCCTGGTGGGCGCACATACATCAAGAAAACGTGAACACAAACACCCATGTTTTAAATGATTTCCTTATCTATTGCAACAGATCAATGGGGAATGAGAAGAGGTTCTTTCCCACATACATTTTATTTTTATCCACCACGCTTTCGCCTTATATACATTCATACCAGTAGCTATAAAGCATTGCAATTATAGCCCAGGTTATAAAGTAATTATAAATCATCACACTACTTAGCTTCATAACTTAAAATAAAATAATTTGACCTTTGAATTTGTATATTATATTAACAGGATCCATAATATTTCCGCCACAAGACTCATCTCTGTCAACTAAACCATCTTAAATATGGTTTACGTACCGATAGGACTTAAATCTTCTACAGAACTGTAAAAGGTTCCATGTATACTACACATTTATATATTATATTATATATATAATATATATATAATATGCATGCATATATATAAATATATATGTATATATATATATATATATATATATATATATACTCTTAGTATTATATGTAAACCTCTTTTAGCTACTCTAAACAAACGAAATGAACTTGTCACCGCTTGTAGACAGCCAAATTTCTTTTAAAGAACTTTGTATCATAATATATTATCACACACACATATCATACATATATTATCATGCATTATCACTATAATCCATGGTCCCACTTCCATCTTACTCCGTTGTTATTCATTAGACCGCAATTAATTAGACAAATACCATAATATTACCTTTTGATGTACCGCTTTCGGTTTCGACATTCTCAGTTTATCTTTAACCCTCCTGTTTGTATCTTACTTAGTCATTCAGTAATTTTATCCGAAGAGTGCCACACCATATGTGCGTTACTAAAACTAAATAGTAATAAAATGTCTAATCAAACCAACTGTTGAACCTCGCTTTTTTCGTTCAAATAAAGGACATGATAGTACATCGTGTAGCATATCTCTCAACGAATGTTGTCTTAAAAATAAATAAATACATTTTGTAATAAAATGTCTCTGACGGGATTCGAACCAAAGACCTCTCGCTGTAAAGGCGAGCGTCATAACCATTGGACCACCGAGGCTTCATGGTTGAACGGATCCAAATAACCGTCAGATACTATCTATTACACAATAGGTACTGCTTGGAAACAAATAATACCATATAATATAAATCAAGATGGCCGTTAACACTGTTAAATTATATATAAATCCTCAAAAAAGGTAATATTACCAGCTATACATATCAGGTGAAACGTAACCGAGCAGTAAAGGTACACGTATTAGGTGTAAATCTAATCAAATAATATTTATATGGAGTTAATATCTCCCATTTATTTATTTATTTTTGAATTTATTATTTGTGCATCTATTTAGAATATACCCTTTTTCATATTTTATTTTTTTTGAAAATTGGGTTAGAAGGTTGTAAGATATACGGTCGAAAAATATAAAAACATTCTAAAATCTGCATCTCACTTTTCCAATCCATCCGCCACATGAGGACTAGCATGTAATAGCCTAACAGTTGGGCTTACCCGCCTTCCGGGGTGCTTCCTATCCGCCGGTCACAATTTGACACATGGTCGGTCCACGGTCGAGTCAGACTGGCGTAGCCAATGACTAGGTCGAACGATCCGCTCATGTTGGCTTTGTCAGTTGCGACCGACAACTATATAAATAACGTTCTAAAATTTACATCTTACTTCTGATCAGCAAAAAAAAAAAAAAAAAAAAAAAAAACAGGAGGAACCGAGGTACTGTCAATATGTGCTAGTTTGAAGTGAGTCAGTCCCGTAAATTATATAGATTAAAAGGCAAAATACTGAAAAACAACAATGCTGTGGGAAACAATGGCTGGATCTCAGTAGAGATACAAAAATGATAAGCAACAACTAAAAAGTAAACGTAAGTAAACAGCCAGAAATAGAACCAGAGCTTTCGGACAACACTAGTCCTTCCTCAGTGGCGAGTGAGTGAGGGTAGAAAAAGCTAGATGGTATAAAGTGAGAATTTCATGCAAGCATGATTGAAAACAATAGGCTGGGTGAGATTAGAATAAACAGCCAGTAAATAAGTAAATAGGAAGGCCAAAACTAAACTTTAGAGGCAAGCCTCAATAAATAAGCCAAATGATTTATCCAGAATAAATTGAAATGAAATGCAATTGGTTTAATTTAGTGTACTGGGAGAACGTTCCTAAGTTTGAGTCCAAATGGTGTGGTTGTTTTAAGTAAAAGTTCCCAGTGATTCTCTTTATCTTTGCAAATTTTGTCTCTCCAACTGGCATTATGGTCAATTGCAATCACTCTGAAATTTGAAATTGAATGACCAGCTAAATTGAAATGTTCGGCTACTGGTTGATCAAGCTTAGATGTTCTGATAGCTGATCTATGTTGTGTCA